GTATATGCTACAGTTATATATATATATATATATATATATATATATATATATATATATATATAATAAGTCTCTCTCACTCTCTCTCTCGGTTTGTATTTCTATTCTCGTTTTCTTGGCCTGAATTTATGACAATGTTATTGCATAATTTTTAAAAATCTTTACTGATTTTAATTTTCAAAATAATTATAACCTTTTTTTTCGTTTTTCTTTTTGCGAAGAATAAGTTCTAAAAATGTATGTGAAAAAAGTTTATACGCCTCTTTGGAGAAATGTAAGACAAAAATATATTTAAAATCAAAATAAAAATGCAATTTTGACAGTAGGATAATACCGCTAAACAGGATTAATATTATGAGAGATTCAGATAAAATATATAATCATAAATCTTAAAAAATTAAGATGTTCCACTTTTACAATACCTATTTTTAATTTGTTGGTTTACTGCTTATGTATATACGGTTTTTATTTTCCTCGTGTCTGTGTAGGAGTGTGGTGAAACGTATATAAATCCGCTAGTGACCACATAACAGAATGAAATGGAAAAATTAGTCAGTAATATTATACTACATTTCCATAAATTCATATTAGAATAAATCACAAAAAAGTACATCCGGGTCACTTGGACGTATCAGTAAGATAGTAAAAAAAGGTATTCATTAAAATAAGTGAAAATGAATAATAAAAATCCTACATAAAATCTAATGTAAATTTCAAAGATGTAAAAAGCAAAACAAAAAAAAAGCTCGTAGATGAATAAAAAATATATCGTAGATTCGACCGATCAAAGCTAATTCAATTCATTGGATATGCGGATACTTTGATTTCATTTCACTATTTCGATTTTTTTTTTAATAAGAGGACAGATAACACCCACAAAATGAAGATCCCCAAGGACAAAAATTCGCTTTCTTGACTGTCTATACTAATGACGAGCAACCGTTTTTTTTATCGTCAATTTATTTTTTCAACATTGAATTCTTCTCTGCAATGTTCATACATAAATAAACACACGCATATATCTATACTTACAATAATACATGCACGTATTCATATACGTGTGTACAGATATATATATATATATTTCTTTGATTGTATATGGTGCTTATATAATCGGGAAAAATGACCATAAGAAAATATGCATAGTTCAATGAAAAAGGAAAATTATTTTTCTCATATTTTTTCATCCCTGTTTTTCTACAGAAGACAATCTAATAAAACTGAAATTTTGATCATTTCAATATTCGGATTTGCATAACACATTTTATATTAAGTCGTTAAAAAAAACTGGCTTAAAATATTTTCAGTTTAACCTATAATTTATAATCAAAACATAAACAAATTTTAAAGCAGCTTTTTAAAAATAGACATGAAATTATAATTTCCGAAATACGACGGTTGATCCATATATCTGCAGCTTGTATAATGTTCTTTACACACTCGCACTCACACACACCCACAAACACACATACACACGCACATATGCAAATTTCGTTAAAGAAGAAAAAATATACGAACACACGAAAAATTATATAAAAACTTAATCTCAACATCTTGTCAGTCGTTTTTAACAGAAACTTGTATAAAAGAGGGATTTCTGACCAAATACAATATATATATATATATATATATATATATATATATATATATATATATATATATATATATATTTATTTACGTATATATATATATATATATATATATGTATATTTACACGTATATATATATATATATATATATATGTATGTATGAATATTCGTATATGTACACGTGTATATTTAAGCATTTAGCTATCAGACAGTACACCCACCCACATATGCCAATGATCAATCAACGTTATATATATATATATATATATATATATATATATATATATATATATATATATATATATATATATAGTTGACGCTGTTAAGCTATTCAAATATGCATTTAGTTGTCCTTAATGTAATCATAATAGAATTCATCACAAGAAAGTCTCTTTGAATTTTATAGCCGAACGCCTAGAGGGATGGAAGTCATTTGAATAATAAATATTCTGGTGACGGTCAAGTCTTGTGTGTGTCTGTCTTTAACAGCATAAATATTATAAGAGACGCACGCATACAGATGTAAAGATAAAAGAGAGTGAGAACAAAACAGACACACACACATAATTACATCTCTATAGACGAGTGTGTATATTTATTTGGGTTTACGAAAGAAAGCGGAGGTGGTTAGCTATTTCCAATCACATCAAGAATACTAAGCATAAATAATTCATATATATTTTTTAATTCTCAAATTGTATTGAGAGTGTGTTGAAAAGTTCTAGGACCAAACAGGAATGAAATGGCCGAGAGCTATGAAAAATATATATTATTTCAAATATTCTTTCCGTAGTTCAGCACACTTGGCAAATCTTTATGCAAGTTTCTTTAGCTCTTAAAAACATTTTTGTTATATTTCATTTTGCTTTTTGTAAATGAATTTTCAGTCCTACATAGAAAGCTTGATTCCTTCGCGTGCCTTTCGTTTAGGCAGAAAACATTTTTATCTTTAACTAATTGAAAACTTTACTATATTTGACATGTATTTAGAATTTTATTCCATTCAAAAATAGTTATATATTCTCTTTATCGCTATAACCTAGTAACTCTATATAAATCTGGGGTAGGATATGTTATCTGATCTACGGACAGCCTTCGTAAAGGGGTCCTTTTGTCCTAAGAATCGAGCGAGCTTATCACAGTACCGGGGCCTGAGCTTAGGCATGATGTCACTGAAGCTAAGAAGGTCTGCCTTTTAATTCTTGAGTAATACCTCATTCAGTAAACCTCGAATTTGTGTGGCTCTAAAGCCTTGAACTGGATGAACACTAATTAAACAAAGCAACAGAAAAAATATATTTAAGCATGTAGCTACCAGAAAAACGCACGTTTATATATATATATATATATATATATATATATATATATATATATATATATGTATGTGTGTGTATGTGTCTGAGAGAGAGAGAGAGAGAGAGAGAGAGAGATAATTAATACAAGTAAAAGATTTGTCATTTATATGATTGATGTTACCTTCAGCATCCAGTCTCCAGAGTTTCCTCCGGGAATCATTCCGTCCACACATACGCACACATATGTCTCTCTCTTTCTCTCTCTCTCTCTCTCTCTCTATATATATATATATATATATATATATATATATATAATATTTTTATTAATCCGACAAATTTCTATAAATTTAAACGTTATTTGTAGTGGTTATTTTCAACAGTATATTTATTTTCATTTAATGGGCCTAAATATTCGAGAAAGCCGCATATTTTTCTATAATAAGATTCGTCTAATATTCAAGCCGGTAGTCAAATATAAATATACTGTTTAAAATAAACGGAGCGTCTACTCATATGTGGGTATCCACAAACATATAACATATGTTGAAAGTGATATATATATATATATATATATATATATATATATATATATATATATATATATATATATATATGCAGCTATCTTTATTTTAATTTGATGAATTCTTATTAAGTTTTTTTCTATGATTCTTAAATTTTTGCATTTGGTTGGGGTAAGGGAATACAAGCTACCATCATACAAGCTGCATCACATAACACATCTTAAAAGACAACCGTAAAGAAATTAATAACAATTAACACACAATATGCATCGCACAGTTACGTTTTAAAAGACAGCCGTGAAGTGAAATTAATTAACATGAAGAAGAATATATATATATATATATATATATATATATATATATATATATATATATATATATATATATATATATATATGTATTAGTCTCTGTTAAGCTATTCAAATACGTATTTATTTGTCCTTAACGTAATCATAATAAAATTCTTCACAAGAAATAGTGAAACGGAACAAAATCTAGTGACTAGAGTTAAAAAGAAACAAAAAACAAAAAGCACTAAACACCAAATTTTTCGAAATGTTCATTGTCTTCTAAGACGTAAAAGCAGAAACATTCTCCTTTTTAAAGAAATAGCCTTTCCACTCCGGCTCTGGATATTTTACTTTTAACATCTTTAATGAGCAAGAAGTGTTCTTCATTAACTGTTCTAAACTTCTGAATATGGTCAATCATCAAAATAAATTTATTGTCTCCCTAACCGAAAAGTGTGCTAATCTGTCGCAAGATATGTATTCCTATGTTCTGGTGAAGGCTGGACAATTTCCTGTAAGGTGAAGAAGCGTCTTGAAGTGACAGAAATGTGGTTCTACAGAAAGCTACTGAGAATACCATTGACCGAAACATGTGAGCAGCAACGGAGATTTAGAGAAACACAACGGAAACTTATAGATAAAATCAGGAAGAAGCAAATGAAATTTCTGGGGCACGTAAGGAGGAAGGAGGGCTTGGAAAATCTGATACTCACAGGACAGATAGAGAGAAAGAGGGACAGACGCGTAACATGATTGATGGGCTAGAGTAAAGGAATGGTAGAACAGGGTTTGGGAGAAATAACAAAAAGATAAAACTTATTGAGAGTTACAAGGAACAGGAACATGTAGAAGATCATGATTGCCTACGTCCTAAAAGGATACGACACATAAAATAAAAATATCTTCGGTCGTAGAGAAACTTTGTGACACTGACTGGATGGATTGTTGTTTAGTCTAAATCACTGTTTGAATTTTACATCGACATTGTCAAAAGTCGAAAAGTCATTCAGAAATTATTAAGAGATTGCTGAAATTATTACGACTGCTGAAATTATTACGATTGCTGAAATTATTATGATTGCTGAAATTATAAAGAAGTTGTTACGAGATTGCTGAAATTATTACGATTGCTGAAATTATTACGATTGCTGAAATTATTATGATTGCTGAAATTATAAAGAAGTTGTTACGAGATTGCTGAAATTATTACGATTGCTGAAATTATTACGATTGCTGAAATTATCACGATTGCTGAAATTATTATGATTGCTGAAATTATAAAGAAGTTGTTAAGAGATTGCTGAAATT